AGCAATTCCAGATCGTCTCATTTCATGACGCGTATACTATGAATAGACGGAGACGGGCTAAAGTCGGCTCAGGTTCGGAGTCTGAGAATAGCAATCCCTGATTCCTTCCTCGGTTCAATTTCAACGGGTAAATGGAGCTTTCGAACGTGTATTCTTTTGCGTGCAAGCTCTCTAATTGTCATGCTGCTCGGGATTTGAGTCAATGAGTAAGCACCTCCTGAGGGGTAAAGATTGCGGTGGCGGGGTGATGCCGAGAATGCCGAAAATGCCGAAAACAATCAGCTGCCAGAAACCGAATATCGTGATACCAACAGAAGAATAACAAGCAGGCGTCATTTACACCTATTTCTCGCTGTTCTCCACTTCTCCCGTTCATTCTGTCTGTCCGATAATGAGAAACTCGATCGCCTGTGTTCCATGCCGAACTGCCAAGTTGAAATGTTCACATCGCAATCAGCAACCACCCTGCGATCGATGTAGAGCATCTGGCAAGGCCGATGCCTGTCAATTCCCAGAGCGATGGACTTCTGCCCTACATCGACAGCCAAAGAAACCTCGCCAGCGTCAACGGGATCAGCTTGGCCCCAATCGCGTACAAGTTCTTAATCAGCTGACAAGCGAACCAACTCGACCAGCTGGCCCATCCAGATTCTTAGAGAGTCCCAGTGCTACTGGTAGAGAAATCCAGCGAGATAATACAGGAGAGAGGCAGCTATCTCAAAATCCATTGGACTGGTTGGCGGACGACGTGCAAAATAGCTATTTGCGATGCTCCTACAAGTGGTGCTTCCATCACAAGCCGACTCTCTTACGTAAAATTAGAGATGGCACGATTGACAAGGCCATGGCATGGGCCATTCTCGCCCTGGCGTCGAGGTAATTATGTTTCTTCACAGAGACGGGCCTGACTCCGCCTGATTGAATTCCTGCAGGTTCTGTGCCCCCCCTGCGCCATTCACGTCGCCAACAGACGCCAGCAGCTTTTTTGTTGCCCAAGCAGCGAGGGCCGCACAATGCAGTATCACCAGTCCAAGTATAAGCCGAATTCAGTCGCTCCTCATGCTTACAGGACATAACTGGGGCGCCGGTGATGGCCAAAGTGCCTGGATCTACCTGGGAATAGCAGTGAGGATGGTCGAAATGATGGGCCTTTGTGCCGAGAGGCAAGATCAATCAGACCAGCCATCTTCAGCTGAAGAATTCATCGCTGCCGAGGAGCGCAGACGTACTGCTTGGACATGCTTCCTGATGGAGAATCTTCTCAGTGGTGGCAACAGCCGCAGACGTATCCTAAGAGCGGAGAATATGATGATCCAACTACCATGCGAGACTGAGCAGTTTGTATTTGGTACCCCTGTGCGATGCGAGAGGCTGGATGGCACATTGCCACAATCCACACCCAACCTTCCCATCGGGAATGTCAGCATGCTTGGATACACAATCAGAGTCGCTAAAGTCTGGGGTGATGTTGCCCAGTGGGCATGTTCTTCTTCCGCCTCTGAACAGGACCCCTGGGACCCAGCATCTGAATTCCAGAATCTTTTATCAGCGCTCGAAGATTGGAAATCTAAATTACCGGATCGATTTAAGTATAGCCTATCCTCTCTCGAAGCACACCATTCCCTTGGACAAGGCCAAGCCTTTTGTTATATGCATTGTATTTATTTCATGTCGGTCATGTTCCTTTACCGTACTTACCTTCCACATTTAGGTCTAGCAAAAAGACACGAATTTCGTGCCACATCCGTTGCTCGCAGTCACAGCGATTCTCGTAGTGAGCAGCCAGAATGGCAAGCATATGCCAGTGGTCGCCTCTATACGGTCGCGTCAACGGTGTGTGAAATGTGCGAGGAGATCACTAAATTCGGTGCAGACTTCAGGAGAGGTTTGGTGCCGTGGATTGGATTCACTGTCTACACTGCCGTCGGAGTAATTCTTTATTTGGGTTATTTCCCCATGGATTTCGAGACTGTCTCCGTGGATCGAATAAGGGATAAGATCTCAGTTGGATGCAGATTGCTCACAGAGATGAAACACGAATGGCCAATGGCTGGTCGGTGGGTAAGTAGACACAAGTCCTGATCTGATAATTGCGACCCTGGCACGGCTCACTGATAGACACAGTTCGAGTCTCTTCGACTTATGCAAAAGTTCTATCTGTCAGTTTCCAGAAATAACGATGTATCTCCCGCAGAACTTTCGAGCATCAGAGATGCATTGGTGGATTATGGCGCTCTTCATCATTTCCCCGCCTCCCAGAGTGCAAGTTCAGCAGTGAGGGAGGAATCAGGAAATGTAGGTTCACCACATGATCTATCCATACTTTAATCTGGCCTAAGTGAGCTAAATTGTCGCAGATTTCCTCTCAATTCAGGTCTAATTTCTCGGATAAAAGCAGCATGCCTTGGCAGACCGCATATTCAAATGCACAAAGAGGACCGCCGCAGACTACTCTAAATTTCAATCAACATGATCTGTTTGAATTTCTTCAGCCAGATATCACAGACACAAGTTCCCAGGAGGACGTGGTAAATGCATTCCAGATATTTTGGACGACGTTTCCAGGACAAGTTGGTAGTAATCCGTATTCTGGATAGGGTTTCATATCATGACAGGATATGATTGCATGCTCTTATTCTCTTCTTTTTAAAAATCCCTTCTTTCCTGTCCTAGTGGGACTGGCCTGGCGATCGCCTGCTGCTCAACTGATGGATTCCACTGTGGCTCGAGAATGTGGATCCAAGTTGCCGCAGTGATTCTTAATCTGGACTCCAAAAGTCAAAGAGGGAACAAGATTCGCATATAAGGATATGAACAGAACTTATCCTAGTTCCCCGGTTCCCAAAGTCATTAAAAGTACTTGACATGTCTAATCCAATTCAAAAGAAGCAAGGACTTTTCTCCTCTCTGTTATTGAATGGGAACCATCAATTTAAAGGCATAGGATACCTTAGCTCTTAATCAAGGCAACAGCAAGATTTAGTAATTTTATTATTATTATTATTATTCTTCCATTTTAGAGAGCGTTTTTCAGTCAGAGACTATGCACGCTCTGCCTACCACCTAGGCAGTAGGGCTTAGTAGCTAATATCTATATACAGGTGGGTTATAACTCTCGCGCTCCCAACAC